GTTTTCCAGGTTTAGTCATCTTGATATCATTTTTCGAAAGAATCGCAAAAAAAAACCCTTCGAGTTATTCAGCTAGAAAGAAAACAGGTTGCAATCGTTTTGTATCAAACCAACTGTTTTCTCAACTGAGCAATGGTGACAAGAAAAAGATCATTCAGGTCTTCAGTAATGGTACCAACATTCAGACTCCGGCTTCCATCTTCAATGTCCATTCAAGAACCATCAAGAGAATGGTGAATATTTTTTTAAAAAAAAAGGGGGGAACAGTAGAGAGGAAAACTGAATCAGGGGGTCACAATAGGAAGAGGGGTCAGCATTTCAACTTAGAGTGAAAGAGATCAATTAGAAAAGCTCCAATTCAATCTATAAGACGGTTGGCACGTGAGAGAGGAGTTTCACTTATGACAGTCCAAAGACCAATGAAAAAAGACTTGAAAATGAAATCGTACGTGAAACTTGTGAGGCACCTTTCTACTCCAGGACAGAAAGTTAGAAGGCTAGAGAGGGCGAAGTTCATTTTCAGTAAGTTGGAAAATGATCCTGGAATAATATATATATATATATATATATATATATATATATATATATATATATATATATATATATTTCATCACGATTCTCCTGTTAAGGTTGGAGAGTAATTATACATTCTTATTGCTGACACTACAATAGTGTTATAAAAACATCGGAGAATACCAGTAAGATAATTATTTCTAAGATACAACGGTTCGAAACTTAATCAAAGAATTGGAGAATTTTGCTGTTACAACTGGCCACTCGTACTCGAGGAAACCCTACATCTAGGGCGGCTAGCCAATCCCTAATTCAGACGCTCGCTCAGGCACATTTGTGTTTTTTTTCAACCCCCACAACCTGTGGATTATACTGCAACTATACTGTGCAGACCTTAGTTTCTGGGAGAGAGCGTGTTACCTAGCGTGATCAACAATCTGAAAAAGGTCATCACACGCAAACCCTCGGTCACGATGACTTGGTTCCGTCTACCCAATTTCACTCAACCCGTGGTATGGTTTTTAGGCATTTTGCAAAGTAGACTTCTTGATGTTAACGGTTATATATAAAATATTTACTGTTTCTTAAATCTTATATTATTAAATCTTATATATATATATATATATATATATATATATATATATATATATATATATATTAATTTTTATTTAAAATATGATTCCAAATCGCGACATAAGAAGTCCCATGTTTCAAAACAAGAGCCGAAAACTTCAATGTAATTATTTAAATTAAATTGAGTTAAAATAAGCTCTGTTTCATCTTCAAGCGAATTTTTTTTTTTTTTTTGGAATAACGTGTTTCTGAAATTTACGTGTTTTAAAAATTGAAATCAAAATTTCCATGGTAACAGCTAGTGCGAATTGTTTAAGTTGGGTAGGCGGGTGTTGGGTGTTAATAATAAGTATCAGTATAGAGTTACTTTCGTAGATGTCAAGTCAAGGAAAGGTAGGGGTGTCTAAATTTGAAACGGAAGATGTATTAACCTCGTCTAGTTTGCATGTCTATGGAGATTTATTTATTTTTTTATTCTATTTTATGAAAGGGATTTGTGCATATAAAAATCTGTCGTAACGTTTGTTTTTTGACGACTTCATAAAGGGTTATCTTTTTTTAAGGTATTTAAACTATTTATTTGGGCTATGGATTATGAAGGGTGTTATATTGTATGCATGTTTTTAGTTAATTATTCAAACCATGGATCTGATAAGTGGGCGATTTGGAATCATATTTTTAAATAAATAATTATATTTATGTTCTACTTTTGTATCGAGCACTATTTTTAAAAATAATAACTAAAATACTAAGGACTTTTGGATTATTTACCTAACCAGTTCCTTCCTATTTATATATATATATTTATATATATATATATATATATATATATATATATATATATATATATATATATATATATATATATATATATATATATATATATATATATATTCTGTTTATATATTAATATATTATTTTTATAAACAGAAAGTATATTAACTAATTGTCGGGCTTAATCCATTTGATAATATGTTATCAATGCTTACATTAAGGTACGTTTCGTGAGCAGATATGATCGTTCGGGAAAGATCATCGAAGATTTGTTGTTTATAAACAGTAATTCGGACTTTACTAACAAGACGCTTTTTTCTGGCTGAATGGTTAGCAGCACCTCATGATAAATAATAATTTCAGATTATTATTTTTCAGTGGCAATGTATTTGGCTCAGACCTTGTGAGGCTGACTTTGGGGTCAGCTGGTAGACAAAATAGGGATCTCGATTTTGATTTGATCAACCGAACGTGGGAATTTTAGAGTTAGGAAGTGTTTTCGAAGAATTAATTTTTACACGTCATACAGATTAGACGTGGTTATTTTGTGTCCCGGGGAACTTGCTACCCAGTGGGGCCGATAATTAAACCTCAATTAAAAATGTACGCGTCGACGTGTTAATAAAATAGATAAGTTTAAAAATCACTTTTGTTGAAGTTCTCATTTTACCTTCGAATCCAAAGACATTTCGACATCGGACCAACAGAGGGGAGAAAGAGAAGACAACTTTATTATGGTCGCCCCAAAAAGACCTCCTCAGACGAGAGGTGGGATGCAATAGTCAGATCAAATGATGGTTCCAATATGGGTTACAGGTTCAATCCTTGTCGAAGAGCGCATATTTTCTACGAAGTTTCTCGAACTTTCATGGCAGTTGATGTAATTAATACTGTTTATTTTTTAAAAAAGTAAGAGCAATTACTTGAATAAATTATATCTATAAAAATAGCGTACAAACAGAAAAATATATAAAATAATTGTCGAACTTAATCCATTTCATAATATATATGTAATGATTATATATATATATATATATATATATATATATATATATATATATAAATATATATATATAAAAATCCATTTCATAATATATATATATATCATATTTTATATATGATCATATTTTAGCAGGTTTTTCTATCTCTTAAGTCATCTCTCTCCACATTAATTAATTTCTTTCCCTTTTTCACTCTTTCTTTTTCTAATAATTTTTCCTCGCTCTTTCTCATTTACTCTCTTTTTTGTTAATTTTTCTCTCTTTTCCTTCTTCACCCAACTCACTCTCACTCTCTCTCTATATATATATATAAATATTAGGCCGAAGCCCCAAGGATTCTTTCCCCAGGCAGTTCCTCTCTTTCGTGAGGGGACTGGTTTTATTGCCTGGCACATGAGGCGCCCCCAAAAGCGGAAGTGACGAGTGGGCTTGGGCAATTTTTCAACGGTATTGCCATTAAACCCACTGTAAACCTCGACATTCAGGAGGCGACGTGGACACGTTGAAAATACCCTTTGCAGAGAAGTTAAGTATTTCCACGTTAAAATACCTTGTTAATACGACATCAAGACGTTTTGTTTTATTGCTCAGTTATATTCGTTGATATTTCTCTGTACCATTTAGTGTGCGATGAGTAAATTGTCGACATTTCATATTTTTAATTTTGCGCATGCGCGTTGTTTGTTTTTGATTTTGTCCATTGCACAGAATAGCGGGGTCAGTTGGGCAGCGTCTGTGAGAAAAAGAGCACCTTGACGAAATTCACTCCGTCAGAAATTTGGAAACAGCATACTGTACTGCTCCAATACGAACATTTCAGAGTGTATGGATGTTATTCTAAGGACATTACAGTGTATTTGGAAACAGTTGGATGAGTCTAATGATGGTTACGAAAATGTTTGAAGTGCTCACTTTTGATCGTTACGTTATGTCTTCATTCATCTTCCCACAAGGCCTCAGATTCAACACGTACACCTGCATCAAGTGCTTTGAGGAGGTAGTGCTACCCTGGGTGAAGACGGTGATTGCTGAAAGACCATGTGCTGTCAACAAGTCTCTGAAAAATGCCAGCAGTAGGAGAACTTAGTCATGGCTGTCAGACAATTTCTGCGACTACATCAACCCTTACATCTGGTCACATCTTCCCAGACTGTAACCCCTATGATAATTGTGTGTGGAGCGGAGTTGAGCAAACGACCAACAAAACTCTTTGTAACACCTAAGATGAACTGAAGGCAAGGATTATGGCAGAATCCACCAACTTAAACAAGGAGACCGTCCACAAGAGATGCAGGAGATTCCAAGGTCGTCTGGAGGTCTTGGTTGAAACGAAAGGTTATTTTATTGAATAAATCTACACGTTAGTATTTCAAGATATTTTTGTGCAATTTTGCTAAATATTTCTGTTAAAATGATATATCTGGTTTATTTTCATTTTTGCTAAATCTAGACGAGAATATATTTTCACCCTGTAGATTTCTCGTCGTCCTAGATGCGTCTTACCCGTTATCTCTTCCGCCATGTTTTATGACACACCTTTTCAAGCCCAATTTTGATGCTTGTAATTAAAATGCTAATTTTAGGCTTGTTCTTAGCCTCTTTTTTTTTTTTCCTTTTTGCTCACTCTTTTCAAAAGAAATCTCCTAACCACCTTGTCATTATATCTTTCTTACCGTCTTCCGCCTTGGATTTAGTCAAGCACAACGTACCGTTTCTTCTGTCAATCTCACGGCACAAATATTCTCGGACTTTGCTCAATCGCCGAACATAAATAACACGATAGCGGTTGCAGCAAATGCGAAGCGGAGAGCTGTCAATTTTCAAAAGAGCACTTTGCGCCGGATGCGTCTCCTTGAGCAGGAGTTATCGACCCTTATTGTGTGCAATAGCCACCAGGTTGCAAGGAGGGGCCTCGCCTGATGCTTTCATCTATTGTGTAGAAAGGAAATTAAAACGAACAAAGCTAGCCGTAAAGATCAGAAAAGATTAGAAAGACAAGTCTTTTGAGAAGGAGGTGGATAGGAGTGAAACACACGTCTTGTGTGAAAAGAAACAAGCAACGAGAAGAATAGAGTATATGGAGGGTGAGGAGGGAGTGTGGTTATTAGGAATTGGAGGAAGAAAGAAAAATAGAGAAGTCTAGACGAAGAGGAGGGCGAGAAAAGAGAGAGGAAAAAACACAATGAGATGCGGAAAAGGAGAAGACGAAGATGGAGATTTGAGGGAAAAGAGAAGAGAATAGAAGAAGGAGGAGGGAAAAGAGGAGTAGGAATAATGAGAACTGGAAGGGGAGATTAGGAAAAAGTTAGGAAGGATGGGGAGATAGAGAAAGGTAATGAGAAGGGGAGGTGGATAGGGAGAGGCGTGAAGTGAGGAGAAAGAGAAGTAGGGGGCGATAACGGTTTGTCGGAGGGGAACAAATAGTAAAGAAAGAGAACACGGGAGAGGGAAGAGGGAGCAAAATGGAAGGAGGCCTGTAATAGGAAAGGTGGTCAAAGAGGAGGAGAAAAAGAAGAAAAAGAAAAGAGATGGGGGTGGAGAAGAAAAAGGGAGCTTGGAAGAGAGGCAAGAGGGTTGGAAAGGTGGTACCATGGGAAGATGTGGAGAAGGTTTCAGAATGGAATAAAGTGTAGAGAAAAATAAGAAGGCGATAATGAGGAAGAAAAGAGAGAGAGAGAGAGAGAGAGAGAGAGAGAGAGAGAGCAAGAAGTTGATGCTGTGAGGGAGGGGGAGACGATTAACAGGTGAAAAAAGACGAGGAAAAAGCGATGATAATACAAGGGGAGGAATACGAGGATAAAAAGGGATAAGAAGAAAGAGGCGAATAGTAGAATATTATATTGATAAGGATAAGGAGACAAGGCGAAGGATTTGAAGACAATGATGATAATGATTCGGGAAGATGGATTTAGCGGCGGTAAACGACAGCAAAGGATTGGGAGAAATAGGCGTTGATGTTGATAAGATAATGATGCGACCGTCATGGCGATTGGGCTACTTATAGCAATAATGTTGACGTTGATAAAGAATCTAGATTGGGGAAGTTAAGGAAAGAAGCTATAAAAGAATAAAAATAGTTGCAATATTTGAAAGCCTAGCGCTCCAAAATTTCGAACTAGCTTTTTCGCATTCGACTTTCCCAATTAGCTAAACCTATTTTCATAATAGAAGGAAATTGGGGAATTTTGTTAGAAACAAACAAAAGAGTGCTGGACTGCACCAGCATTCTCTATGCCAGTGAATGCTGAACAATTGATTTACAACTAAAGAGGAGACGTGAGGCAACAAACATGTGGTTCTACTGCAGGATAATGAGAATATAATAGATGGAATTTACCAGAAATGAGAAAGTTTTAATAAAGAGTTAATTCTTCTTCTACTGTTCTCGCTCTTTAATAATGTTTCTCTTTTTCTCTTATTTTTTACACTCAGTGTCTTAGTGGCTTTACTGCCTTGCATGGGGTGATATAATTAGAAAATAAAATATAAAAATAAAAAAGTACGATTGTATTTCTATTCAAAAAGAAACGATTAAATTTTTAGGATGCAATATAAGTGATGTGGGTACCAAAGTTGGGACCACAGAAGTAAAACACGGAACACGGATTAGATGTAAGAAAGATATATTAACAACAGGTTACAGAGATAGTGTAAGCAGAGCTTACTATAAATTAGTGTCCAACACTGGTAGTCGTACTAGACTCTCACTGTCTCTCTCTGTCTCTCTGTGTCACTCTAGAGTGTTGTGTCGCATACTTAATATAGACCTGGAAGAGTCTATTGTGTAAGTAGTTCCGGTCTCAGAATACCCCCCTTCCAAAGAGTTTTCTTTTGGAAAAGGAGAGAAAAAATAAATGTGTTAATACTTTTTCCTTTTACTTCCTGAGCTTCGCACTTCAGGAGAGACTTGGGGCATGTCGAGATCGAACTAGAGATCTTGATGCGTGAGCCACGGCTTTTCGCGAACCATCTGGCAGTTTATGTAAAATGCAAGCACCAATGCCGTACGAACTTGCATCACTTGCGACTATGATGTCGAGACTAGGGTCGTAATGGGTGAGGGAGAGGTCCGAAGTAAGAGTTTTCTTGATCTTCTCGAATGCGTCTTGGCATTCCGGGGTCCATGACCATGGTTTGTCCTTTTTTAAGAGTTGGTTGAGAGGTCCTCTCAAATTTTGCATGTTCTTAATGAACCCTTGATAAAAGTTAGCTAGGCCGAGGAAGCTTTGTAACGCTTGAACGTTATCTGGGACCGGCATGTTTCTGATCTCGTTGGCTCGTTTTTGATTGGACTTCTTTTTTACGTAGACCGTAGGTGCTGCCCACTCGCTGAAATCTGTTTTTGACAGAATACGTGCTTGTTCGAGTCTATCTATCTCTTTGTTGATTTGCTCTAGAGCAGCGAAAGGGACATTCCGTTTCTTTTTGAATACCGGTTGTGCACCGTCCTTCACCTTGAACTGAGCTTTCATTTTAGTACATTTCCCAAGGACGCCAGAAAAAAAAACCTGGCGAAATTGTTGTTTGAGTTCCTTTTTGACATTTACCAAATTGGACGTTGTACTTTGTATCTTGTGACAATGTACTCATTGGGCAATCCCAAAGATTGAATTTTTCTATCCAATCTGTTCCAAATAAATTAAATGAAGTTTTCAATACGTAGGCTTTGAGCTTTTTGGTAACTCCATTTAGTGTTACTGTAAGTATTACCTCGCCTAAAATGTTAATCTTTTCGCCAGTTACGGATTTTGCTGTTTTATCCGTTTTTAATAAGGTCGGCTTGTTCAATTTTCGCCAAGTACGCCAGTTAATAGTTGAAAGATCGGAACCCGAGTCAAGCTGAAATTTAATCGACTTATTGAAAATATCCACTGTTACATATTTTCTTAATTTCCTATCGACAATATTGTCAGATTGAGCTTGCCTAATTTTATTTTTGGGTTTTCTCGTTCTGTTGGCGTACCAGCACGAAGTTAAAGTATGCCCACTTTTATTGCAATTTTTGCAATATTTTTTGTTCTTAACTGGACAGAATTTCATCCAATGCCATTTACCACAATGGTAACATGGTCCGGGCGGTTTCTTTAACCTATTTGGGATTTGGTTACTGCGTAATTTACAACATGAGATTTACCTTTTGTCTTTTTGAGGGGAATAGGAGGTAGACTTGCTTCTGATTTTATTAATCTGAGCCACACCTCATTCCTCGATAGTGTTTGAGTCACACTTTACAGATATTACTCTTTGACAGTCCTCTGCTAGTTTTTGGAGAGTCAATCCTTGTTCGTTCTCAAGCTTGGTCAGTACCCGTCGTCTGACTTCGGCATCTTCTGCTGATACTAGACTTTGTGCGAAAATCAAGCACTTGAAATCATCAGCAGTCAGTTCGTCTAGTTTAAAGCCATTACAGAGCTTGTTTACCGATGCTGCAAACGTTAGAAAATCTTGCTGGTTGTCTTTGACTGTGTTCAGGCATTTCCAACGTTTGTGGAACAAGGTGGTGTTAGGCCCGAATAGTTCTGATAGGAGATTAATAGTCTCTTAAAAATCCAAGTCAGTGCCTACGAACCTACTATGTTCTGTAGTTCCCAGTTTTCTCAATAGTAGACGTACCTTCATTTTACTGGACCATTGTTAGTCTACGTTGAAAATATCTTCGTAGCGCCTGTAAAAAGCCTGGAACGTTTTGTCTTCCTCTGGTACGTATTCAAAGATTTCCATTGAATTGTAGATTGTACTCTGGGAGAATATTATATCTTTTTCAGAGTTTGAGACTTTTAATGCATTTATAAGTAATTCTTTAAGTTGTTTCTGTTGTAGTTCAGCATTCTGAAGCGTAATGTTTTGGAATTCCCTTTGTTGTTTATGTAATTCCAAAAATAGTTGTTGCTGTCTTTCTTCTGATTTTTGTTGCTGATCCAAATTTAGTTTTAACATTTGGGCAACTAATTTTTGAAAATCTTCCATATTTAAAAATGACAGCGCTTTTTTGTTGCTTTGAAACACGTGTACTAAGAGGAGGTACACAAAAAAATCTTGATAGATTTTTGTTCCTTTTTTTTCTCTTACAGAAAAAAATATGGACAGACAATAGTTAAACTAAACTAATTATGTGTTTAGCTTTTTTTTCCGTGGTTCCGTTAATTTTAACGTAATTGAATAATTTTTCACCACACTTATGTATTTTATATATATATATATAGAGAGAGGTACACAAAAGAGAAAACTCACCTCAATTTGAGGGGAGAATAATTTTATGCCCGAGTTCAACTCAGTTACATAAAAAATTTTTGGATAGTTTTTTTTTCGAAAACTTGAGTACAATGGTAGTACTTGCTCTTGTATTGTCAGTTTGTTTTTCGAACAACTGTTTTTTTTTCTGTGTGTGTGGGTGTGTAGAAATCGTTCTCGTATTGGACAAACTTTAAGTTTTCCATAGATGTCGAATCGCTAGTTCGTCATTGCTGTTTGGTATTGGAATATATATAGACGCTGGTTGTTTAGCTTTTAAATCGCTAATGTATTAATACCAGCTTAATTTCACGTTCAACACTGCTGTGGGAACGCGTGGAGTTTGTGTATTTTTCGAGTACTGTCGCTATTGATATGGTGAGAACGAAATTCTCGAATCTTTCTGTCGCCACTGATGTGGGACTGGTAAGGTATTGAAGTTTTTGACGTGAATGCGTTTCTCGAATTCTTCGTCGGCCCAGATGTGGGATTGGTAAGGTATTTAGGTTTCGCCGTGATTGCGTTTCTAGAATCCTCGTCGCCACTGATGTGGGGCCAAAGTTGGGACCACAGAAGTAAAACACGGAACACGGATTAGAAGTAAGAAAGATATATTAACAACAGGTTACAGAGATAGTGTAAGCAGAGCTTACTATAAGTTAGTGTCCAACACTGGTAGTCGTACTAGACTCTCACTGTCACTCTCTGTCTCTCTGTGTCACTCTAGAGTGTTGTGTCGCATACTTAATATAGACCTGGAAGAGTCTATTGTGTAGGTAGTTCCGGTCTCACAATAATAAGGAAAGATGACTTTGAGAGAATGACACACACAATATATGTTGAAGCTAAGAAGAGCAGTGGGAAACAGTGAAAACCCTACCTAACTAGCTTATATACATGTATGTCAGACATTGGCTGAGAGGAATAGTAAGAGAGAAAACATTACTTGAAGGTACGAAGGATAGGAAGTTGTGGAGAGATATGATCACCAAGTTTCTGAAATTAGTGCTCGAAAGAAGAAGAAAACCAGTAGCCCACAAGTAGCGAAATTCAAAATATATTAGCTTTAGGCTACCAAATATCACTCTGGCAACCTAGGAAGGGAAAGATGTAGGAATCAGCTATCAAGAACAACAGAAATAAGAAGACGATGACGAGAGAAGGGGTTGAAGAGAAAAAGAAATTGATTGAATGAACAGGAGAAAGAGGTGAGGACGTGAAGTAAAAATTAAGATCGTGCCAGTTTTTCAACATTAGTCCTAGAGGCCGTACCTCAACATATCATACCATTTTGGAATCAGGACAACTCAGTGAGCAAATTAAAAATATTCCGAGTCGGATGCGGACCCGCAATCCTAAAATTTCTGATTCCCAAGTTTTCATTAATGCCGCTGTTTTTGTGTTCCACCATTTTGAGTTCTATTGATAAAAATAATTAAATGAACACAACTCTCTAACTTTCAATCGCTTATGTTCAAATGAACAAATTACTGTTCTCAAATTACAGTGTTTCAAAATAAAATTATTCGTGTTTTCATCTTTACCCCTAGGGGCCGTAGCTCATCATAGCATACCATTTGGGAATCAGGCCGACTCCATGAACAAAGTAAAAACATTCCGGGTCGGATCAGGACCAAGAATTACTGCGATTGTTTTCGGCGATTTTTTACGTGATTTTTTTGCGACGAAATTTTTGTACGATAACAATTCTTCTAACTTGGAAATAAATATGGGAATAATCGAAATTAATTGTGAAATCCAGCGAAAGTCCCCCATGAAGTCAAAATACTTGTTTGTACGGAAAGTAAGGACCTACGTACATCACATTGTCTTTAAATTAAGTAGCGACAGAAGAATTATCGTTGAATATTTAAAAGCTAATCTTAAATATCAATGCATGATTCTGAGTTCTTTTGTAGTTTATTGTTGCCTATCGCTTCTATTCCTCCCTATCTATTGTGATGAAAGCCCAATCAACATCCCTCCGCAAGAGCTAGCTTAAATGCCGCTCGATAGAGAGGCTTTTAAGCTAGTATATATATATATATATATATATATATATATATATATATATATATATATATTGAACAATAAAAAAATATCAAAAAATCTTCAGACACACTGGGTTGTAGATTAATATTCTTTCGTTTTTATTATTATTACTTTATTTAGATTCATATATATATATATATATATATATATATATATATATATATATATATATATATATATATATATATATATATATATATATATATATATATATATATAGAGAGAGAGAGAGAGAGAGAGGAATCTTTCTCTCCTATATATATATATATATATATATATATATATATATATATCATGTTGAGATCTATAAAAGAATTTCATCAGCCTACACAGTAAGGTGTCTTCAGAAGTTGAAAGCGTTTACATAGATGTGGAACGTAATTTCAGGTCTCGCCAGAAGCTACGTTTTGTCTCAAAGTCTCGCAGGTTAATTCAACGGTAGAAGGAGAATTCGACTAAAAATTTGTAATAAAAATATCAAGATGAAAACTTGCCATGGACTCAAAAACAAGAATATCCAGAATAGAGGAATTCATGCAACACTATAGACATTGCAGATTCTTAGAGTAGTTTACCAGGTTGTGTATAACTTTGTTTTGTTTTTGTGGGGGTTTTTTGTTTTGTTTTTTGTAAAGCTCACAGATAATATATTTTCATCATAGAAATGTCATAGAAAACGATCCTGTGTGGACAAATTCTAGGAGTAATGAATTATACTTAAATAGGCAAAGTTTAACCTATATACCACCCCCACAAAAAACAAAAACGAAAGAAGAAAAAGCGGTGTATGAAAAAGACGGTTTCTTTTCTGATACCACTATTACTGTAAAATTACTGTTACAATGTTTATTGTTTAAAAAACAAAGAATATTTAGAATTTTGATATAAAAAAAAGTTAAACTGTTTAATTGTTACATTTGCTTATTTACTTTTCTCTTTTTCTCCCAGACAGTACCCAACTGACCCTACTATACTGTGCAGTTGACAAAATCAAAAACAAACAACGCGCATGCGCTAAATTAAAAATATATAATGACGACAATTTAACAACCCTGTACAAGGAAATAAAGTATAATTATATTTTATTTTTCGGAGAATAAAATTGATGAACAAGAACAGAAATTATTTATGACTAAACCTAATAACTATCACCGCTATTGAGACATTTAATGTCAGATTTTATACGGAACGCACATGCGTATCGAACCGACCACCCGATAGTAATGGCCAACTAGAATAGCCTCGCTAGCCATAACGCCGCACTGAGGCGCCTATGATGATTTTACAAGTACACTGATTACGAGAGTATGAAGAATATTGTTACTTCATCTAAGGTGCGATGATATTATTTAGAAAATCTAGATTTCAAACCAAGCCGTTGATTCCTTTTTCTTTTATCACCTCTCTCTCTCTCTCTCTCTCTCTCTCTTTAATTATTAATCACACGCTCTCTTTCTGGTTCTCTTTTTCTTTCACTCCATTGCTCTCTTCATCTCTCCTATTCTTTTTGACTCTCTTTCTCTCTTCTTATTTTTCCCTTCTCCTTTCTATTTCAATCACTTCACCTCTTTTTATTCTTTCTCTTTGTCTTTCAATGCTATTCTCTCTTCATCTCCCCATTTTTTTTCTATTTCTTCTCTCTCTCCCTCATAATATTTTTTGTGTCTTCTTTCTCTTTGTCTCTCTCCTTCTTTCCCAACTTTCTTTCTCTCTCGCTATCCTTGTTGTACATTTCATTCACTTTCTTTCTTCACATGATTATCTTTTTTTCTCTCTCACTTTTATAGTTTCCTCCTCTTTAGCTCATTCAATTTTGTCTTTATTTATCTGTTGCTTCCCTCTTTTTGTATTTTTCAGCTTTTCTTTCCCTTACTATCTCTCTCTCTTTTACTCTTGCTGTTTTTCACTTTTGTCATTGTTCTTTTTTTCTTTTTCTTTTTCTTCTTCGTCTTCTTCCTCCTCTCTCTCTCTCTCTCTCTCTCTCTCTCTCTCTCTCCATTGCTTTTTCACTTCTCTTCTTTAAATCCCTCTCGCTCTTTCGGCGAGTCAGGTGACCATTTGAAGATGGGTGACCATTTGAAGATACCAGATACTGTATGTTTGGATGTGCGGGTGCTATAATAGATAGTGGCTCAGAGAGACGAGTTTCAATTGCAGAGATGTCATTATCCACTCTAATCGAAATACTTTATGATCTATGCCATTTCATTGTCCAAATTTAATCTCAACACCTTATGATCTGTCAGATCTCATTATCCAAATCTAATCTCAATACCTCATGATCAATCACATTTCATTATCAAATCTAATCCAAATACCCTATGATTTGAGATTTCATTATCCAAATCTAAATACCTTACGATCTATAGAATTTCATTATCAAATCTAATCTATATAGCCTATGATCTATGAGTTCGCTGGGCTGCTATAACAAGTAACTTCTCTTGAGAGCATTTCTCAGGGCAATTGGAATCAATTAGTAGCACCTACTTACTCGACAATTAACATCCAACAGATTGTATTAGATTATATGGTACCAGCAGTAACTAGTCTTCTCCACGGTTTTGAATTCTGAATAGTTCTTCTGAATATTCCTAGACTACGATCCAAGGCTAAAAAGCCAAGTCTACCCTACGATTTAACCAATATCTAGTGTGGGAGAGGAGATGGGTCCATGTCTTTCCCAAGTATGAAAGTGGACATAATTGATTCGGTCAGAATTTGAACTCGTTTCGTTAATTCGTCTTACGTGCCATCAACCGTTGTGCTACCCGCGTATTTTTATCCCCTTTTGGTAGCATTAAAAAAAAAGGGGAGATAACTTCTAGGCTCAACGGGGAATTAGGCTTCCTTGGCAGAATGACTTCATTCTCCAACTATTTATTTCCTATTTTCTCTCTCTCTCTCTCTCTCTCTCTCTCTCCGTTTGTCTCTCTCTCTCTCTCTCATTCTCTTCTTCCTGACCTACAATTTCATTCTCTTTCTTTTCCCATAGTTTTATCTCTCTCTTTCTTTCTCTGTCTGTCTGTCTGTCTGTCTGTCTGTCTCTCTCTCTCTCTCTCTCTCTCTCTCTCTCTCTCTCTCTCTATATCATTTACTTTTATCTGTCACCCGTTTTTAACTAAGATATCAGTTTCTCCCACACACACATAATCACACACTCACTTTTTCTCTTTTTATTTTTCTCTTGGTCTCTCTTTTCACCATACACGTGCATTATATATATGTTGCTTTGCACTTCATTACACTCGCTCTCTTTTCTTCACATACACACATTCGCTCTCTCTCTCTCTCTCTCTCTCTCTCTTTTTGTCTTTTTCGTTGCAAATTTTGAGAAATCTGAGCTCTTTTATTGTGCGTTGTTTGTGTTGTCGTTATACTATTTCGGTCAGTCCAATTTTCAGCCGTCGTCACCATAAATCCGTAAAAAAAAAGAAGAAAACAAATGAGTTTCTTCCCAAGACGGCGGCAGAAAAAATGGTGTCAAGAAATAAAGTTAATTTTCTTAGCAAAATGTAAAGCATTAATGAGACTTCTTTAATTTATCTTTCGTCCTTGTTCTTCCCTTTCTCTTTCTCTGCACTTTACTTTTTTTTTTCTTTTGTTTTATTTCTATTTTTCTTTTCTTTGCGTTCTCTTCTTTATCGTTGCCGTTTTTCTTCTCGCTTATTTTTTATTTTTATTCTACTTTCTTTCTTTTTTTTTTACTTTCTCTTTAACTTGTTCTCTTTATTTCCATTTCACTTCTTTTTCATTTTTTTTTTTTTTCACCTTTTTTTCCTCTCTTCTAATATTTTCTCTGCTCTTTTTTCTCCTATTATTTAACATTTTCTAATCTCCTTTTATTGCCTTTTTTTTTCTTTCTTCCGTTTTGGATTATTCCGTCTTATTCTACTCTTTTTTTTTTTCTTTTCCTTTATTCAATCTCTACTGTCGCCCTATATTTTCGTTCATCTTCTCTTTCTATGTTCTCTCTAACACAAAAAGAAAAAAAAATTGTCTTGTTTTGATTTCTTTTTTTACTTCTACTTGCTGGCTTTTTTTCTTCTTCCTCCCTTCTCATCTCTTTCCTCCTCCTTCTTACTTATCCACCTTCCATCTACTTTTATGTTTAAGCCAGATCAACATGGAGGCTTGTTCTGCTGTTTTAATTATTTCTTTTATGGCTTTCTTTTTTGAAACTCCGTTTAATCACATGTCTGACATTGCTTTGTTTAACGACGGTGACGCGAATCCACGACAGCCCATTTCTAAAGTTTGGTAGAATGTCTTCCAACGTTTACCCTGGCATCTTTCTTTTAATTCCTGGTATTTGTGGAGTTTCCTCTCATGTCCCTGCAAAAGACTCGCTTCCCAAGGGATGTTTAATTCGTATATAATTAACATATTTTCTTTATTTGAAAATAATGATAATGCCAGGTCTCAACGATGTTTGCCAGTCGTTTGATTTTGTTAGTTGGATCTAGTTCTCTGTGTGGGTCTTTTTTGATCCAGTTTTGACGAATTTTATCATTTTCGGGTCGGGGCTTGTTAATGCGTATCGCTAAGTCAAATACATTTGCGATTATATGTAATACTTCGTCGCAGCGCTACTTGTATCTACCTTCCTAGGGGAAGGTAGATACAAGTGCTATCGGGCAATTTTTCAAAATGTGTTTTAATGTTCCTATTCCATTGCACAGGTGACAAGTTGAGCCTTTTTTCTTGCCCCATTCATACAAGTTCGATGGACATCATACACTGATTAGATGATAAATTGGATTCGGTTGTAGTTCCTCCTCCATATGTCCGCCCATGTTACTTTAGGAGGCAGAGTGGAGTAATGGATAGCGGTTTGGATTGAGGAATCGGAGAGCCGAGTTCGAATTCCAGTCGAATCTATTATATTCACTTACGTACTAACACCCTTCTTCCTCCAGCTATGGGTAAATAGCAGGACAGACTGAGTTCTATAGCCTTGAATGGCAACTGGTCTAGGAGAAGGAAAACTCTGAATTCAAACCTGCTCTTAGAGGAGGGTGAATGGAGTCTCTCTGAGCCTTTGTTGGCAATCCATTTAGTGTTGGTGTCACGATAAAAACACTCTTGATAGCCCTAGCGAAGCATCAAAATTCAGCTATTTGACAAGATTATGAACTACACCAATTATTGGCGAGTTCAATCTCGGCTTAGGCCACAAGATGATGACTTTCTGATGAGGGATTTCCTCCCATTTTCTACATGCACCCAGTTGGCTCATTCCAACTACTTTGCTTAAGCGTGTCTCTTCTCTAGCCACCCGTATTTCTTCTTAGATGAACTGTCTTTTTTCCTTCCCAGACATGTTGCTGTACCGTTTACTAAGGAAGTACCCAAGTCCAGCACGTCCTTAGGTTATAGTTCCTGGGATAGACCGGCATTTTATCCTTTCCTTTGAAGATCTTTTTTCGCTCACCATTTTTCCCTGTGCGACCTCGATGTCGGCTGATGCTATTTTCGAGTCATTTGATGTTTTGTATTGGAATAATTCTCTTCTGCGCCTGAATTTGAATTCTTCTATCAAACTATCTAATGAAAGTTGCAGAGGTTTAGTTTTACCATATAAAGCTTGGCACTCCCATCCAGTGTCTGAAATAACGGTTTATTTTTCTTTCCATCTTCTTATCATATAGGAACTTCATAGATGAACAATGGCCACAATATCCTTGGCAAAATTATATGTTGATAAATCCAGCTTTTGAAGCGGTCTGGTCACAATGACTTGTTGGTTTTTGTTAACCATGTGTCCAAGTCTTTTTCCACCTTTTTTTATTGCTTTGCTATTGTAGTGATACTAGCAAATTAGTATGCATAATTTGCATAAGCACAAGTGAACACTCATATAAGTGGTCACTGAGAATAACGAAGCAGTAAAACGAGTTTAGCGGCTCAAAATACCTAACTGGCACAGGGCTCATCCATGGCGGGGGCTATTATGGCTAGGACTAGCCTGGACCAGCAAGGACAAGCAAAGATCAGCTATGATTAGCTTAGACCAGCTCTGACCAGCAAGGACAAGCAAAGATCAGCTATGACTAGCTTAGACCAGCAAAGACCATTTTGGACCAGCGGCCCGAGTGAAAACATTCGGGTCCCCACGTTAAAAACTGACCTTGTGTCACAACCTGACTCAGTGGGGGGGGGGGTCAAGT